GGGTCAGTCTCTCTTAATGGGAAGATTAAGGAACTATGCTGGGATCTATTGTTAAGGGAGTGAGCCGTGTGCCGTATACATTCCTCTCTCTCTCTCTCTTTTGTCTTGGTGAGCAGGTTACCCGTCGTCTCTCTCTCTCTCTCTCTCTCCTGTTAATATATGACTTTTTGTCCCCGGGAGGAGGATGAGGGAGGTTTACGAAGAGACTCTATGTATTTTAGGGAGGGAAAGGCTCTCACCAAGGGACTTCAACGCGAACACAGCAGAACCGAAGGCAGCGGATTCTTGTGGTGGTTGTGTTAGGGAGTTGATTCCTGGAGTGAATTATAAGACTTGACTTTATTTCATAATTATGCTGGGTTATTTTTTTCCTTTTGTGTTGCATTATTTTCTTTTGTTAGGTTAGGTGTGTTATGTTACATAGGATACACCTAAACGATACACGGTAACACTGTATTCTTGAGAGTTGTCTTTAAATATACCATATGTGACCACACGTTCATTATGCTAAGTGTAGTTACGCCAGGGAAGATTTACACCTGCCGGCAAATATACTGTGGTTGAAGCAGTTTTACACACACACTGTTGCCAGGACCCACCACCACACGTGAGGGTGCACCACTCCGCCCGCCCCAACCATCACCAAAATATTAGCATGTTTACGTCTGTTTCAGTATCCTGGGCGAGCGTATTTTTTTTTTTTTTTAATAGATGTGATGTGGTCGGTCATGTGAATTGTTGACATACATATTTTAGTGACAACTTTCTGATGGTATTTATTTTTTAATTACGTCTTTGTTTATTTTCTGTTTTGGTGTTAAGAACATAAGAATGGAGGAAACTGCAGCGGGCCTATTGGCACATACTGGGCAGTCCCATTTACACCCAACCTCTATCGTTCATATATCCACCCAACCTGTGTTTGAAGCTATCCAGCGTATTCGAGTTACTGATGATGTTTGGTAACTTGTTCCACTCATCCACTACTCTATTTCCAAACCAATGTTTACCTATCTCGCGCCTAAATCTAAATTTGTCTAATTTAAAACCATTGTTATGAGTTCGCTCCTGTTTGGATAGTTTAAGTACCTTTGTTATATCACCTTTATTTAACCCTGACTTCCATTTATACACCTCTATCATATCGCCCCTCACTCTACGTCTCTCGAGGGAGTGCAAATTAAGATGCATTTACCTGCCTCTGTACTCAAGGTTCCTAATGCCCGGGATTAGTCTCGTCATTCTCCTATGAATTCTTTCTAGGGATTCTATATCCAGAACTGAACCTCGTAATCCAAATGAGGTCTTGTAACTAACACTCCTTAGTATGAACCCAAGTACTTCATTAGCCTTGTTTCGATCAAATTCACATTGTTGCCTTGGTTAAGATTCCTACTTATCATTAACCCTAAATCTTTCTTACAGTCGGATTTCTCTATATCATCGTTGTTCATCTGATATCTGGTTTCTCTGTTTACATCTACTAGACCAAGTACTTTACATTTGTCCACATTTGCTTAGTTTATTTTTTATATATTAATAAATTTTCATAAATTGATTTGTATTTATTTTCCAGTGTAATATTGGTGTTTTTTCTCCATTTTTATTTATTTATTTATAATATATTTGGTTATTCATAGACGTGTTGATTATTTGTTTTCAAGTTATATTATCACGTATGTGTAGAATATTTTAGAGATTAGCTTAAGGACCGTGTGTGTGTGTGTGTGTGTGTGTGTGTGTGTGTGTGTGTGTGTGTGTGTTTTGTTGTTTACTGATGCAGGTGACGGGCTTGATCTTCTCCGCCCCCCCCCCCACCACCACCACCACCACCACCACAGCTGTAGCGGCAAAATTAAAAACAAAATCCTCCCGACCACAAACACCACACTTCTGTTGACGTTTTTTAGGAAAGTCTTCGAGGTAGTCGATAATGACGAAAATTACGATGTTATTTACTTAGACTTTAGCAAAGCATTTGACAGAGTACCGCATCAGAGGCTTCTGAGAAAAATTAAGGCTCATGGTATCGAGGGGAAAGTTTTAAATTGGATAAAATCATGGCTCACCGATAGAACGCAGAGGGTCAGCGTAGATGGTGTTACATCTGAGTGGGGCCGTGTAACCAGTGGGGTTCCGCAGGGGTCAGTACTAGGCCCACTCTTGTTCATAATCTACATAAACGATCTATATACTGGGATCAGCAGTGACATAAGCAAGTTTGCGGATGACACCAAAATAGGGCGGCAGATTAATTCAGGGCAGGATGCAAATGCATTACAGGAGGATCTAAATACTACAGGGGTGGTCTGAAAAATGGCAAATGAAATTCAACACCAGCAAGTGCAGCGTACTTAATATTGGAAGACCAAATACTGACAATGTATACAGCCTTAACAACATCAACCTAGAGAAGTCGACTTGTGAAAGAGACCTTGGGGTACTTGTAAGCCCGGACCTACGGCCTAGAAAACAGTGCGTTAATGTTCGAAATAAGGCAAACAGAGTATTGGGTTTTATATCTAGAAGTGTAAGTAATAAGAGTGCAGAGGTCTTATTGCAAGTATATCTTGCGCTAGTCAGGCCGCACCTCGATTATGCGGTTCAGTTCTGGTGCCCCTATTATAGAATGGATATCAATTCATTTGAGTCGGTGCAGCGAAGAATGACGAAAATGATTCCGGGACTTGGAAACCTTCCATATCAGGATAGGTTAAAGAAACTTAACTTGCATTCCCTAGATAGACGAAGAGTGCGGGGAGATATGATAGGGGATATAGATAAAGTTCTTATAATATCCGAGCAGGATAGGACTCGGAGCAACGGATTTAAGTTGAATAAGTTTAGGTTTAGGAGGGAGATAGGAAGAAACTGGTTCACAAATAGGGTGGTGGACGAGTGGAACAGGCTTACCAACTTTGTAGTAAGTGCTGGAACTCTGGAAAGTTTCAAAAGGAGGCTAGATAGATTCATGGATGATAGAGAGTGGTTGTAACTCTCGACAGGAGCTGCCATGCACAGGCCAACCGGCCTATTGCGGACTCCTTATTTTCTTATGTTCTTATCACCACAACTACTACCACAACCATTACCACAACCACCACTACTGCTACCACCACATCTTTCAACCACCATCACCACCACCACACCTGTAGCGGCAAAATTAAAAACAAAATCCTCTCGACCACAACCACCACACTTCTCAACCATTACCACAACCACCATCACCACCACCACAATCGTCACTCTCGGCTAAGATATTTCTAGAAGTTAGGAACACATTAGAATGACCCTTAATTTAACTCTATCATATTGTCCCGTTGGCTCAAAAAAATCAATATTCCACGTTTCCAAGTATGAATTAATATTTCACTTAAATAACTCCAAACTGTTTATAATATGACATTATCTCAAGAGTTCCAGGAATAATTATTTTTATATAATTATAATATCAGTTTTTCATTGATTTGGTGATTTAAAACAAGATGCCATTTAAAATGAATGACGCTCAGTTATTTATCTTTTAACATAAGATAATTAAATGTTCACTTTTGTTATCATATTAAAATCATTAACACTTAAAGCACATTTTAGTTTCCTCAGGGTTTTTCTTCCAGAATTCAGAAAACCCAAATAATTTTACACATGGTTAGGTTGACCTCTCGTGACCTCCCCTGACTCAGGTCAACCACACGGTGTATGTGTCTTGGTAACCATGAGATATGACCTCCTGTCTCAAGAATTTATGGACATTATCGTGTAATTTTGTTCGTGTGTGTGTGTGTGTGTGTGTGTGTGTGTGTGTGTGTGTGTGTGTGTGTGTGTGTGTGTGTGTCTGTCCACTCTACAAATATCTGTACTTGGATCACCTGAAGACTAGACACCCAAGCTTCTTTCACCTAAAGATTAACCTCCCTAACGCAAACTGGATCTAATCTGACCTCCCGAATGAAATAATCTGGTGTGCCTAATCTTCAGGTCATTGTTATGTTTTCCAGAATCTTTACTAACCAGTTGTGTCATTTTATAAACAAAAAGATGTACATTTTTTTCAAAGAACTTCTGTTTATGTCCAGAGTTTGAACCTTCACCTAGATTCCTTAACGAAAACAATATAAAGAAACTGAAATACTGTTACTGATGTTGTAGTTGAGAGAGAGAGAGAGAGGGGGAGAGAGAGAGAGAGAGAGAGAGAGAGAGAGAGAGAGAGAGAGAGAGAGAGAGAGAGAGAGACTGCTGCTGCTGTACCTCAAGCTGTGTTGGAGAGAACCTCACCCACAGCTCCTTGGCACAGCTTTATGGTCACTTTTCTCACGTGTTGAGGGCCTCGTGGTGTACCGTGTCCACCAGCTGTTATTACCATCGTCGTTATAAGTCCATATCACTCCATAGTCCTCCGTCTTGACCTCTAACTGCCCAGTACCAAGTGTCAAGGGTTGTATTAGTGTTGTATCTTCTATTGGCATGACAAGACCTCACCGTGACGTAATATTCAGCGATCACCCGATGCTTTGGTGGGAGGGAGACAGGTAGAGGCCGACCCAGGTGTCTACTTCCTGGACTCGTACACCAAACCTGCTGCATCTTTGATGAATATAATTTACCAGACTAACATTCAAACACATACACGCATTCAAGAGTACATGTATACGCATGCATTAACACACACACACACACACACACACACACACTGGGCTCATGTTAAAAACTCTCATTTCCATAATTTTGTGTTTCATTATTGATAACAAGTTTACTAAAGGACGTAGTATACAACAGGCAATAGTATGTTAATATTATTAGCCAATTATTCAAGTAAACAACTAAAATACAATATACTAAAGTAATACAAATATCTCAATTAAGGAGACCGTATACACAGTGTGTGTGTGTGTGTGTGTAACAATACAGTGCCATGTTTTTACATCAGATTATCATTGTTTATCAAATCCAAGAGTTGGTAAATATTCAACAAAAATTCAGAAAATAAAAACATACAGATATAAATATTTGTCAACTTTTTATTCATGCACAGATTCGAAGTTAACTGGATGTTCAAAGCACAGTTGGTATGTACATACAGATGTATACACAATTATACATGGAGCACATACACAAACAGTTTCACACATGCAAGTGTTGGGGAAATACTCAGCTCAGTGCTATACATTTACTGTATACACTGTGAGGGATGCCCTAGAAGAAACGTGTATAGGTACATAATATACACACACTGGTCCTCACATACACATGATGACGTATACAGTCGTAGGTACACGGCGGTATACACAAGCTTAGTCGGAGGGACCTGGAGACATACACTCCCTAGTATACATAAATTATTTGCTAGTGTCTGTATTAAAGGATACCATACACTGTACTACACTACGTTTAAATGTTCAACTTGGTCACTGAGAATTTGGGTTCACGTTCACTATAGGTAACTCTGGTCACTTCCCTCGGTCCCGCCCCGGGGCTTCTGGTCACGTCGGTACTGTCTTTGTGTTTATAAACAACGTTCTTGTTGTGGTCGACGGAGAGCTGCTCTTTGGCGTCGACGAGTGGTGTTGATCTCTTCCTGGAGATCGTCAGGTCCAGAGCTTTTTCTTCTGCCACTTCTGCTGTGTCGCCGGCCATGACGAAGATAACATCGTGGTCGTCTTTTTTCTCATGTCCAGCTCCGGTAACTCCGGAAGCCACTGACGCTAGGCTGCTTGTGGGGAATGTAGTGACTGGAGCCCTCGTGGTTACTGGGAACACCTGAAGGTCTGAACTTAGAGTTCTGTGAAGGTGGGCCAGTGTTGGGTAGGGTGCCAGTCTTTCCCTCAAGTCCAGGTTTCTGATGGTGGGCGACGTTGTGGGTGTCGCGGTCAGGTGTAGCGGCGAGGTTATGGAGTCGTGGGCGTGCTGGGCCTTGTGGACGGCCAGGGTGCGCGCCTGACAGAACCCCTTGCCACACACCTCACACTTGAAGGGCTTCTCCTTGCTGTGGATGTACTTGTGGTCGCGGAGGTGGTCTTGTCTCCTGAAGGCCTTGCCGCAGATGTCGCAGGGGAAGGGCCGCTCGTCCGTGTGTGTTCTCTCGTGGATCAGCAGGTTGTAGCTCTTGGTAAACTCCCGTTGACAATACTTGCAGATGTAGCGCTTCTTGGGTCGGCTGAGGCGGCCTCCAGGAGTCAACAGGAGACGGTTGAGGGCCAGGTCGCCAGCACCCAGAGCCGCCCACGGCAGCTGACCCAGAGAATGGTAACTGTGCAGCATCCCCATCACCCTGGGGTCCACCCCTAGAGGGGGCATCGGCTGCTTAACACTGCCACCGCTCACTGACGGCAGGAACGGTAGTGACTGGAACAAGTGGAAAGCGGATGGCACTCTGGACAAGGGAGTGCTGAAAGGCGAACTGTGGGTCCCCTTAGCGAAAGTTGATGACTGGTGGGCTGGTGGGGACGAGGTGGTGGGTGCCAGGGAAGGAGATGACGTGGGCGGACACCAGGTCAGTCCCCGCTGATCACACCCCAGGGCATCTGTGGCGGGAGGACATTACGTCACACAACACACACAAAAAAGATTAAAACTGGTCATTCCAGCAGCTGTAACTTTTAAAATTATCACCTATATCATTAATAATTTGATACGATACCTATTTTCATGCACACACACATGGTGAAGGAGCGTCACTCACCGCCAGAAGAACTCCCGTTTTCCGTGGCACTGTTATCCTTGGTCTCTGTTGGCACTGGCGTTCCCATGGTTACAGAAAACGGAGCACCGATACACAAACACAGACACGTCCGACCACAAGGAGGTCCACCTTGTGACTAAACCACAGACACTGCCGGAGGAGACGTGGAGGAGGTGCAGCTTCCGTGGCTGTGTTGGCGGGGCGCGGGAGATGGACTACTGCAGCATCCATACTGTGCCCTCAGTAAATCTTGGCCAGCGCGTGACTCACACGATGTCGGTGCGGAGAATTTTACTCTCTCGCGCGAGGTTTTCACACGTGTGCTCTACGAGTTTCTTTGTTATTTGGCTTAAGATTTCTTTGTTTAAGAGTGAAGGCCATCAGTTTAAGTGCGATTAATTAATGTTATTGCTCTAAAGGTGAATGCCTAAATCGAGGTGTGTTGCTATGAGTGTCTTATCTCGTCTCGTGTGCTTATTGAGTTTCCATAAATGGCGCGGTTGTTGACTGTCCGGTTCAAGTTTTAAGCTGAGAGCTGCTGGACAAACTGGCACCCTACACACACCACCCTGCATGTTAGTATAGCATTACAGTATTATCGTACACTGCACTCTGCATGTCATACCTGCCCAGTGTGTGTGGCACGTGACGTCACATGCTGGCCGTCCGTTGATTGGCTCAGCTTGCCCTCGGGGTCACCTTCCTTTTCACGGCTCTTAAACGCACTCAATTATCGGTGTACGTTATGTGCGGCCAGAGCGTTCCCAACACTTCCTCACCTTGTTCCTCCCCAGAGACAAACATTTCCCCAGGTTAGGGATGCCCCGCCACTAACCTGTTGACGAGGATAAGTCGTAGTGAAAACTGATGCATTACCGCTTGCCCTCGTGACTAGCACCTGTAAAGGGTTGAGTGGCGACGACCCCCGGGCGATCAGCTGACAGCTTGAATATGGGATTGGTCTTTGTTGGGTAACGGGCGGGGAGTGGGTGGACGGCTCCTCTCCCCTCCTCTCTCACCTGATCTGTGGGTTCCGCTTCCCTGCCCAAGACCTCTGCCTTATCACTGCCAGAAGACGAAACTCAGGTAGTATTTTTTAACCTGAATGTTGTAAGTAAAACGGTAAAACGAATGAAAATCAAGAGCTCAGGCAGAGGTACATTTTAGTGCGGCGAGCCATGTCCGTCAGCCACTGCGAGTAGAAAACTAGAGTCCGAATAAAGATATGTATAATCATTGACCAATAGACGTATTATAACCCAAAACAACACATGCTAACACCTCAACACACATCCAGGTGGTGGCGTGAGAGAGCCGCCACACAGCCGCCGAGCTTCCCAGAAAGAAGCAGAGTGAGGTGTCCGTGGCGCCCCCACCAGGAACCACTCGCTGGGTGTTGCACAACCTCCGCCGCCGCTGCTACACAGAAACTGGTAGCTGATTCTCACCCAAGAATTTCCGACGAGAAAAACTGGCAAGACAAAAACTTGAGCTCACCTCAACCTCCCGCGCCACAGGTCTTGTCCAGCATCCTTCTTTCCCAGGCTCTGTGGGCGCGTCAGTAGGTGGTGTCATAAGGCTCTCACACAGGAGTCAAGGTGGTGCACTTACAGTCGTAACCTTAACCGAATTGCAACATTTTAGTGACCCACAACAAGTGGCAGTGTGACCTATGATATAAGTATTTCCGGCTGGTCACCATGCCCCCCCCCATTCCCCATGGTGTCACTGGTCATTCACGATCTCATCCGTTAATCGCTACGGCCGCGCCTGGATGTGTGGAGGACGTGGGAATGGGTGGTGGTCTGGGTGTGGCTGTGGTAAAAGGTGTGGATGTGGGCGTGAGAGTACTCGTGGATATGGAAATGAGGACTGGTGTTGTTGAAGCAGGACCAGGATCTGTGGCAGTGGGAGGTAGAATGTATTGTATGGCTGAGAGAATGGTGAATGTGTAGATGAATGTAGCTTTACGGATTGAAGCAATTGTGGTTATTGACGACGATCAGGAAGTCGTCCAAGATGATGGAAGAGGTTAACAGATAGGACTGGGTTACGAAATACGACGACAGGTGGAGATGTAGACTGTGGTATTATAGGTACAGTCGGGGTCAAAAGTTCGCTACCGCCCAAAATGAAGCAGCATCGACCCCCAAATGAGATGAATCAGTCGGGGTAAGTCAGTTCGGAGACTCATTCCCATGACTCAGTTTCACCACGGGGACTGAACCTTTGTCCCCGACTGTACAAATAATAACAAGAAAAATCTAATACTTTTCTAGAATGACGAAAGAGAGATAGGAGTTATGTAGCAAGTATTTTAGTCCGGGGGGGGAAGGGGAAGAGTATGAAATAGGGTGGAGACGTGGGCGTGAGTAACAGGGGCGTGGGAACATAGATCCTACACACTGGTATACGAGTGGAGGTGCGCGGAGTGCATGACTGAGCACTGATTGCTGTAAGACCTTGATCTGGCGAAACTCTCCCTGGTGCTCTACGGTGGACCTCAAGTCACCTCAGCACCCGTTTGTTTAATGGACCAACACACCCATGACCTATTCTTACCCACACACCTGTACCAACACACCCGTGACCTATTTTTACCCACACACTTATACCAACACACCCATGACCTATTCTTACCCACACACACCTGAACCAACACACCCATGACCTATTCTTACCCACACACCTGTACCAACACACCCATGACCTCTTCTTACCTACACACCTGTACCAACACTCATGACCTATTCTTACCTACACACCTGAACCAGTACCCATGACCTATTCTTACCCACACACATCTGAACCAGTACCCATGACCTATGCTCGGTCAAATACCTGGATCATCGATTAATCACTGTAGCTGAAACGACTTAAGGCTCTTTATGGCTGCCAATCATAGCTTAACTCTTTCTTGTGCATTTGCTGTTCTTCGTTGCAGTATGTCTTCTTTGTGGAGATACGAGAACGCAGCTAAATGTCTCACTATCAAAAGACATAAAATCGGAGGTAAATTAAAATTATCACAAAATGGTTTATAGATTCAACCGTAACCCGATTCGTTGTCTCAGTCCCCCAAGGCGGGTATTCGAGCCTTGGCTGTTTATTGATGATGTGTATTGAATAAAAATTTGAACACAGGAGAGGAGATAATGGTGGATCCTCTCACTGTCGGCTGTAGTAAGACTCTCGCTGGGCTCTTTGGTACTTGGGCGACCATTAAGGTATTACGAGCCACTAATGAAAGCCAATAAGGCGAGTGGGTGAGCCGCGCCTTTCAGTCAAGACAATTTTACGTCGCCTCTTCGGTATACAACCTCTGGCCACACGCCTTGATACAAACTCTGGCCACATGCCTTAATGCAAACTCTGGCCACATGCCTTAATGCAAACTCTGGCCACACGCCTTAATGCAAACTCTGGCCACACGCCTTAATACACCCACTGATATTATTATTGCACCACACCCATCTATCACAGCACCATCACCGCAACTAAACCAACACCATATCGCTAGCTACAACCATCCACCATGATACAACCACCACACCACTACCACCTCACCACCACTACCACCTCCTCCTCATTACCACTTCACCACATCATCATCATCATATCATCACCACACCACCAAGCTCCCTCCCCTCCTCAATCGGGCTTATCAACATAAGTGTCCGGGATGAAGTGGCATTAATTTTACTGTGAGAAAATTTCGGTTCGGCACATGAGAAAAACTGGAATATGTTCTCTTAAACGGGAAATTTGAGAGAAGTGAGCCATGCTTGAGCAGTGTCGGGGAGTGAATTAAGAAAAAGAAAGTGTGGGTTACCGTGCGTGCGTCGCTGTGAGCAGGCGGCAACCCCAGCCTTCATCACCATTTACATAGTAACGACTCCTAAACTGCCTGTTACCTGCTTACGAACCAACAGTAGAAGAGAGCTTTCCCACGGTGCTGCCGATCCTTATCTGCCCTGATGGTTGTTTCTCGCTAAGTGTAATAACACAGGACCGTCATAGGCTCATGGCTTCATTTTTCTGAGGAGTTGACAGCGGCGGTGAGGTGATCCTCCGCCTGGGGCCACAGTGACTGGGGCCGGGGTCCTCCTCCTCACCACCTCAGTATTTTCTTCAGACAATAAACATTTCTTCCTCGCCACCTTCAGGAGGTTTTGTTGCTCGTGGTCGGGGATGAACCTTGAAATTTATAATAACTTCAAGAAAAAAAGTCCAGTAAATTGTTCTGTGAGAGGGAGACAAACTGGAGGAACATGAAACTCCTATGACTCTGACACAAGTTTACTCGCAATGTGTGTTAAGACAGGCCTCACGGTCAAGGGACTTCACTTGGTCTTGATCGGATGTGAGTGCTGACAGCCTGCGTTTAATGGTGAGCGCTTATGTGTGTTTCAGTATGTTTATTGAGTGTGTAAAGGCATTTGTGTATAAAAATTTTCCGTATGTGTTGTGTTTATGTGTGTATGTGTACGGATGCTTATAGGAGTGAAAAGAGTGAAGATGTCTCGGCACTTCGCCACCTCCGTCGCCCTCGCCCGCGTGGTGCTCTTCCCGCTGCTGCTGTCCTGCCCACTTCATCTTGTTGAATAATCGTCTCCCATTATTGTGTTAACTAACGAGCGGATGTTTTGTGTGTCATATATAATAAAGAGCCACGAGGGATATACGTTCTAAAAATTATCTATTGTATTGGTAATTTATTGTAATAATACTAATAATTTAAAGTTTATTACCGAGAATTCGTTACAGTTATCGTTGGATCTCACAATACAGTATATAAGCCAGTCAGTTACTATAGTTATTTCCACGCTAACCTGCACAGAGTTTCTTACTAGGATAATTACTCTGGTCTCGTGTTGTTATACTCTGGTCCCGTGTGAGTTCTTGATGCCACACAGGAGCTACATACTCAAGCTGTGAATTAGTATACTGTTTTATAATTACGTCTTTAACATGTGTGTATATCGCTCCTAACAGAAGTGTGTGTGTGTGTGCGCGAGCTTGTAGATGTGTATATGCTTAAGACAACATTATTTTGCTATATCTCCCGAGAAATCAGAGAGATATGTAGATTATAATGTAGTGCCGCACGCCAGGGACAACAATAACATAATTTATTCATTCTCGTGACACCTGGCAAAGTCAGGTTTTAAATACACCTCACTTAACACTCTGCCAGGTGTGTTTACCTGTAGAGATCTAAATTAGGAAA